CTCCCATACTCATGGATTGGTAGAATAAACATAGTAAAAATGGCTATACTATCAAAAGCAATCTACATGTTTAATGCAATTCGTATCAAAATCCCAGTGACATTCATCACAGAGATTGAAAAATATACCCTGAAATTCATTTGGAAACACAAGAGACCATGAATAGCCAAGGCAATACTCAGCAAAAAGAACAATGCTGGAGGTATCATAATACCTGACCTCAAACTATATTACAAAGCAATAGCAATAAAAACAGCATGGTACTGGCACAAAAACAGGCATGAAGACCAGAGTAACAGAATAGAGGACCAAGATATGCATCCACACAACTATGCCCACCTTATTTTTGACAAAGGCTCTAAAAATATACGATGGAGAAAAGACACAACTCTTCAACAAACACTGTTAGGAAAAGTGGTTAACAATCTGTAAAAAACAGAAACTAGATCCATATTTATCACCCTGTACTAGAATCAACTCAAAATGGATCAAGGACCTTAATATCAGACCCCAAATTCTAGTTGGTACAGGAAAGAGTAGGAAACACTCTGGAAGTAATAGGTATAGGCAAGGATTTCCTCAATAGAACCCCAGCAGCTCAGCAACTAAGACAAAGTATAGACAAATGGAACTTCATAAAACTAAAAAGCTTCTGCACAACAAAAGAAATGGTCTGTAAACTGAAGAGAACACCCACAGAGGGGGAGAAAATATTTGCCAGCTACACATCAGACAAAGGACTGATAACTAGAATAGAGGGAACTTAAAAAACTAAACTCTCCCAAAATTAGTGAACCAATAAAAAAACGGGCAACTGAACTAAACAGAACTTTCTCAAAAGAAGAATTTCAAATGGCTAAAAACCACATGAAAAAAATGCTCACCATCTCTAGCCATAAAGGAAATTCAAATCAAAACCACACTAAGATTCCACTTCACCCTTGTTAGAATAGCCATCATTTAGAAACACCACCAAGAACAGGTGTTGGCGAGGATGTGGGGAAAAAAGAACCCTCTTACACTGCTGGTGGGAATGTAAACTAGTACAACCACTCTGGAAAAAAATTTTGGAGGCTTCTTAAAAATCTAAACATAGATCTGCCATATGATCCAGCAGTCCCACTCCTGGGGATATACCTAAAGAAATGTGACATGGTTTACTCCAGAGGCACTTGCACACCCATGTTTATTGCAGCACTATTCACAATAGCCAAGTTATGGAAACAGCCAAGATGCCCCACTACTGATGAATGGATTAAGAAAATGTGGTATTTGTACACAATGGAATTCTACTCAGCCATGAAGAAGAGTGAAATCTTATCATTCACAAGTAAATGGTTGGAACTGGAAAACATTCTGAGTGAAGTTAGCCAGGCTCAGAAGATCAAAAATCGTATGTTATCCCTCATATGCGCACTTTAGATCAAGGGCAAATACAGCAATGTTATTGGGCTTTGGTCACATGATAAGGTGAGCGCACACAAGGGAGGTAAGGGAATAGGTAAGAAACCCAAAAAACATGATAGTATTTGATGCCCTCAATGCAAAGGAACTAATGTAGAAATTTTAAAGTGACAGAGGTCAATAGGAGAAGGGGATCAGGAACTAGAGAAAAGGTTAGTTCTAGAAGAATCAACTTAGAATGAAACACATTTGTTCATGGAAGCAAGGCTAGGAATCTCCCTGTATAACTACCTTTATCTCAACTAGCAAAATTGCTTTTTCTTTCTTATTATTGCTTATATTCTCTCTTCAACAAAATTAGAGATAAGGGCAGAACAATTTCTGCTGGAAGGGAAGGGAGTGGGGGGAGATGGAGGGAGTGGGGGAGAGGAGGAGGAAGGGGGTTAGGGGGAGAAATGACTCAAACATTGTATGCACATATGAATAAACGGAAAAAAAAAGAGAAGAGCAGAGCAGTGTGGGGGCTTTTTTGCCCAGGGCCAGAGCCAGACACACCTTGCTGGCTGTGCCAGGCCGGATTTTCATGGCTGTTAGGTTGATTAAAGGCTGATGTAAAGGTCAGTCTTTGATGTTTATCTGCACCTAACATGGTGGTGGTTATTATTTTGGCTAGGAGCAATCAGAATTACCCAAGTGTGGCTCTAGCATCTCAAGGAGGTTTCTGAAGTCATGGAGTTAGGAGATCTGATTCCCTACCTTAGCTGCCATTTTTTCCTCTAATCTATATTAATTATACTAAGTAATGGGTTCCATTATGACATGTTCATATGTCATACACATACTTTGATCGCATTCCCTCCCTTTATTACCCATTTTCTCCACCTCCCTCTCTCCATTTTCCCTTCCCATATTCATAATTGCCCACCTTTTACTTTCATGTGCTTTTCTCCTCTAAGTTCCATATATGAGAGAAAAACATGAAATTTGCCTTTGTGATACTGGAGTACTTCTCTTAGCATCATGATCTCCAGTTCCATCCAATTTCCTGCAAATAACACAATTTCATTTTTTATGGATAAATTCAACTATACTGTGAAAATATATCACATTTTCTTTATCTGTTCACCTGTTTATGGGCTTAACTTAAAAAAATATGGTGTCAATGTCAGGGATGTGGCTTAAGTGTTAGTATACTTGTCTAGCAGTCTCAAGGACCTGAGTTCTAAACCCCAGTAGTGCCAAAAATAAAAAAAGTGCTAAAAACATACTTGTTTTCACAACAAAATCTATACATGTTACCATTAGAGCGCCTCTTGTTTAACTTCATTTTCACCCATTATCTGATCAGTGTGTCTGCTTCCTTGTTGTTTTCAGGAGACACACAGCATGGAAATGACCACAGAGGCAGAAAGACTTCCTTTTTATCATTCTCATTTCCTCTGTATTTGAGTTTTGTAGCTCAGAACTTCTCAGAGTATTGTTATGATGTGGAGCTACTATCACATTCCTGACAGGGCTGTCATTAAAGACTGCATGAGCTTGCGATGTAGCACAGGGCTTTCTTGGTATAATGTTGAACATCAGTTTTTTTTTCTCAGTGATACCCAGTTAAAGAAACAGTAAAAGCATTAAAGAGGATGCCAAAGGCATGAGAGATGCCAAGTGAAGCAAGGGCAGCCAGCTGACTTAGACTGGGTTCTCCAAACCAGATCCAGTGACAAGGGCTGATCTTCAGGTAGTTTATTTGGGACATGATTCTGAGAAACAAAATGACAGGGTGGGAGAGTGAAGCCTGAATCCATAGAGGGTGTGCTAAAGAGCAAACTACTGCTGACAGCAGCAGGGACTTTCTGAGGAAACTTTAGAGGAATCATTTAGATAGTGGCTCAGAATTACCTCAATGAGAACAAGAAGAGGTTGAACTTCATTTGCTGCCTCCAACCCATCATAGATGAGCACTCAGGGTTGTTAAGATCTCAGGACTTCTGAACTTCCCTACTCCTGGGATCACTAAGTTCCAAATGGGAGAGGAGGCCCTTAGCAGAGGGGACAGGCAAGGCTCCTAAGGTGGAGCTGTCAGCAGGTGTGGGGCTTGCGCATCCTGCTGCAGGGTTCTCATAGGCTGAGTGCATTTTAAGGGGCAGGCTCTCGAGCTTCTGCCATTCTAGGTTAGTTGGTCAGAGACCATGCTACAAAGTCACAGTTTGTCTAATTACAATCTCCTTCAGTTATGTGCAAAATTCATTTTAGAAAGACTTAGAAAACATAATTAAGAAATAACTGGTGCTAAAATAAAAAAAAATCTCTTATTAGGGAATTGACACATGAACCTTGTTTTGGCTCCAATCATGTGCACCCCCTACTTGCATGCATGAATTAGTAAATGAATACATTGGATTAATCAAGGGAAAATGTCTCTAGTCAAAGAGACAGTGTACATAGAAGTTGAACGTTGTGTACCTCCCCAATGTGTGAGCTTTCTAAAAAGGAATCTGTAATTGAGTGGTAAGTGTGGTTTATATCAGGAAAATTGCTGAAATGATCATCAAACAGATGGGTACATGAGGAAGGAAAGTGTTCACAGATCGCACTTGTAGCCCTTGTGTGAGGCTCATGCTCTGTGCTGGACATGGGATGCAATGTGAATAAAACAGGCCCTGTCGCTTAGAGCAGAGAGATGTGCAGGGGAAACTCCCAGAAAACAAATCATTATCACACTTGAAACCAGATGACGAGGAAAATTTCAAAATGGACGTGAGGGCCAAGATGTATCAAGAAAATATGAACAAAATGAAAGTAAGGGATGTCAGTAAAGTATTAAATCAAGCACTTTAATAGTGCATGATTAAGGCCAAAATCATGAACTAGAAAACTATTATTACACAAGTGTAAAAGTACATGTTCTACAAAGATTATGTCACAGTGTGAATGCACTAAAGGAGAAATCTCTGAAATAAAAACTGGAAAATCTCCTTGTCACCTTGTCATAGTCTTTTAAATTCCAACAGACCAAGTAAAAAACAAAACAAGGAAGCACAAACAAGTATTTGACCTACAATCATAGTGCATATTCTATATGTCCTCCTTGCATCCATAAAAAATCTGCAAAACATACTCATGTTTGAAGGAAACAAATTGCTCCTGGCAAATTGCAGATTTATGGTGGTACTAATTCCTGTTGGGTCATTGGAAGACAGATGGTCTTCAGTTTTTAAATAAAGAAGTTGGAAAAGGGGCTGTTGTGAATTTTAGTGAGGTAGAAATTAAGAGGGAGAGTATGTGGATGTAAAATCTCCTGTAGTCAGTGGATCTTCATCTGGATAACATTCTTACTGTTTCTGAAGCATAGTTTATCATCTTGATAATGGGAATATTAATAAGACACATCTCTGGGTATATCTCTGAGGACTGAATGAGGTAACTCACATGGATATATTCTGTCAAGTGTAAGGGGATACACAGATCTAAGTCCCTTGGGGTAGTAAGGAGATTGTGAAAAGTGTTCTACCCCTGTACATGTCACCGCCTCACTCCAGTCCTGCATAGAACACACTGACATGAGTTTTGCTCAGTTACCATTTGTATTTTTTCCACAGGACAGTGGCAGATGGTTGGGCCAGACAAATCCATCTGGGTCTTTATGGGGGAGGATATAGTGTTCTCCTGCTTCCTCTCTCCTGAGACAAATGCTGAGGCCATGGAAGTGTGGTTTTTTAAGGATCACTTCTCTGACATAGTCCACTCTATCAGTATGGTAAAGATAAGAAATATATGCAGATACCAGCCTATCAAGGGAGAACAGAGCTGGTGAAGGACTTCATCATGGATGGGCATGTGTTCCTGAGGCTGCAGAAAGTCACTCCCTCAGATGCTGGCCTGTATGGGTGCTGGTTCAGCTCCCAGACTCATGAGCAGGAGGCCATCTGGGAACTGCAGGTAACAGGTCAGTTTCTGATTTCAGAGAACTCATACCTTCCTTGTCTTGTAGAATCATCCTGGAATTTATAAACAATTTTATGAAGGAGATTTTTTTCTTGTATCATTTTCTTAACAGACAGTATCCTAATGTGACCACTTTGTTATGTCTTGTGTGTAGAGTTCTATCATCTTATCACATGTATAGATTCGTGCAACTACCACATCAAATCATTGATCTGTCCCCTCACCACAAAGATCTCTCTCTGCTGTCCATTTAGAGTCACATCCTCCTCTCTCACCATCATCCCCTACCACACAAATCACTAATCTGTATCAATCAGTGTAATTTTCACAAATTAAGAATGTTATTTAATAATGGACTGCATGTGAATTTTTGAGATTGGGTTTTTCATTTAGCGTAATGACTTTGAGATCCATTCAAGCTGTTCTTGTATTATTAGTTCACTCAAATAGTCATTCGAATTGTTGCTTTTATCACTAGTTCACTTCATCTGATTGCTGAATACAATCATGGATAGGTTTTTTCACAAGTCAAGATAATCATCTGTTTTTCTTTCTTTATTTTGTTAATGTGCTGTATTATATTTAATCATGAATGTTGGATTTTATCAAATACTTTTTACTGCATGTATAATCATATACTTTTTATTCTTTACTATTTTGATATGTGGGTTTATATAAATTGATGTTTTTAATGTTGTATCACCTTTTATACCTAGAGTAATTCCCAGTTTGTTATAGCATTTGATTCTTTATATACTCTGCTTAAATTGATTTACTATTATTTTTTCAAAGGACTTTGACCTTTCAAAATGAATTGCCAAGTATTTACTCCTCTTTTATTTGGTAAAAAAATTGCATAAAGTTGATGGTGACTGTTATTAATTTTATTTCTTAATTTTTTTGAGAGTTATGTCTTTTTCCTTCTTTTGAAAACTGTTTTTGGTTTTTGGCACTACTAGGGTTTGAACTCAAGGTCTCACACTTCCTAGGCAGAGGTTCTACCATTTGAACCACACTCTTAGCTCATAACTGTTCTTTAAATGTTTTCTAGTACTTGCCAGTGATACCATCTTGGCATTTTAATATCTTTAATATGAAATTTCAAGATATAATTCAAACATTTTCAGGGTTATAAAACTATTCAGATTGCACATTTCATCATGACTGAGTTTTGGTGGTTTGTGATCTTCAAGGAATTAGTGTATTTCTTCCAAGTTGTCAAATATGAGTATAAAATTGTTCCTTGAATAACTTATTATCCTTTTAATGGCTGCATGATCTTTAGTGATATCTCCCGTGTAATTTCTGATATAAGTGATGTTTACATTCTTTGTCTTTATCTTTGTCAGTTTTGCTAGAGGCTAATCAATCTTGTAATTTTAGTAAGAACCATATTTTTTTCTTTCACTGATTTTCTTTTTTTCTCTATTTTAAATTTCATTGATCTCTGCCTTTTATGTTTATTAGTTTCTCCCCTCTAATAGCTTTGGGCTCATTTTTTTCTTTTTTCTTGAGTTAGGACATTAGAATATTGGTTTTAAACTTTTCTCTTTTTAAATGAAAACATTTAGTGTTATAAATTCCCCTATTAGCCCTATTTACTGACACTCTACATATTTTTAATATTATATTTTTACTTTCATTAAGTTTTATGCATTTTGAATTTCTTTTGAGCCTTACTCATAGATTTATGGATTATTGATGTGTGTGTTTAATTTCTAAGTGTTTAAATTTTTACCTTTTGTCACTGTTACTGGTTTCTGTTGAAGTTGAAGAATATAGAATATATTCTGTATGATTTTAGTTGTTTTAAAATTGTTAATGTTTTATGGCACAAGATACGGTCTCTCTTAAAGAAAGTTCTGTTGATGTTTGAAAAGAATGCTTGTTCTGCTGGTGCTTGGAGAAGGGATTTAACGAATGTCAGTTAGTCCTACTGATTACGTCTTTTACATCTACCGTGTCCGTTTGTTGATTTTCTGTCTAGTCATTTTCTCAGTTACTCTGAGTGGTGTGTTGGAGTTTTCAACCACAATAGTGAATTTTTTCATGTATTTTGATACTCTGTTGTCTGTTGCACATATATTTAATGAACATTGTGTCTTCATAGCATAACACAGTCATTCTTTTATCATTATATAATATCCTTCTTTGACTCTCATAACTCTCTGCTCAGATATTTACTTTATCTGACATTAACATAACTACTCATTTAAACTTTTTTATAGCATGTTAAATTGTTTAATTCTAATTTTAACATTACTCACAGTATTCAATCCATAGTACCCCCTTTCCCTGTTTACCCATAGCTTTAAAATGGGGGCTTCACTGTGACATTTCCATAGGTGTTTACTATGTACCTTGATTAGATTCACCCCAACCTTCATGCATCCCTGTCTTCCCTGCCCCTCTTCTTAAAACAACTTCAACAAGTTTCATTGTTCTATTTTCATGCAAGTATGTAATGTACATAGACCACATTTACGCTCCTTCACTCTCTCCATTCACCCTCTCCTCTCCCATTGGTAGCCTTCCACAAATAAGATCTGCTTTACATTCCTGTCCTTCATGTTTTAAGTTTACATTAATTATTTAAAGGACTTTCACTATGGTAGTCACACTTGCATATATTGCATTTTAATCAGATTAACCTCTCTATTATGCTTTCTTTCTCTATCCATCCTACCACTCTATTATTCAACAGCCTTCAGTACATTTCATTCTGCCATCTGTGTACACAGAAACAATGTATTTTGATATTATTCATTGTCATTCTCTTTTCCTCTCTTACTTCCCTAAATCCCCTCAAACAGCCCCACTATTACAAACATGTTCTGTGTATATCTATATAAAATCATTCAATTCATCAATTGTTTTAGGGCCTTTGAGCTATTTCCATAGCTTGGCCATTATAAATAGTGCTGCAATAAACATGGGTGTCTCTATTGTATCCTGATTTATTTCCTTCAAATATATGCCCAGGACTTGTATTGATGGATCACATGGGCCTTCTATTTTTAGTTTTTTGAGGAACCTCCACACTGCTTTGCATAATGGTTGCACTAATTTGCATTTCCACTTATAGTGTAAAGGATTCTTTTATCCCCTTATCCTTGCCAATAGTTGTTGTTTTTTGTGTTCTTGATGATAGCCATTCTGAATGGAGTAAAATGAAATCTGAGTATTGTTTTGATTTATATTTCCTTTTTTTCCTAGTAACAAATTTTATTTTTATTTATTTCCTTTTTATTCATTTATTCATATGTGCATACATTGTTTGGGCCATCTCTCCCCTCTGCCCCCCACTCCCTTCCTTTCCCTCCCACCCCCAGTGCTTCCAGGCAGAACCTGTTCTGTCTTTTTCAGTCTATCACTGTTTCGTTGGCTGTGCAGAAGCTTTTTAATTTGATATAATCCCATTTTCAATCCTTTCCCTTACTTGGTGAACTACTGGAGTTCTCTTCAGGAAGTCATTATCTATGCCTGTATGTTCCAGCATTTTCCCTATTCTTTCCTGTAGTAGTTTTGCAGTTTGAGGTCTTGCATTAAGATCTTTGATCCAGTTTGAACTGATACTACTACAGCATGAAAGACTGGGATCTAGTTTCAGTCTTCTACAGGTGGATGTCCAGTTTTTCCAGCACCATTTTTTGAAGGGGCTGTCTTTTTCTCCAAAAAGACATTTTTTGTCAAAACTCAAACAGCTGGAGTTGTGTGACTTTTTGTTTGAGACTTCTGTTCCATTGGTCTTCATGCCTATTTTTGTGCCAGTACCATGCTGACTTTATTACTGTGTCTCCATAGTATACTTTGAAGTCAGGCATTGTGATACCTACAGTGTTCTTTTTGCTCAGGATTGCTTTGGCTATTTGAAGTCTTTTGTAGGAAATTTAAGATTGAATTTTCTTCCTTTGTGAAGAATATCATTAGAATTTTGATGGGGATTGCGTTGAACATATAGATTGCTTCTGATAGCATAGGAATTTTCACAATATTGATTCTACCAATGCATGAGCAGGGTGGGTTTTCCCATCTTTTGGTGTTTTCTTTTATTTCTTTATTCAAAAGATTTTTTTACAGATGGAACTGGAGTTTGAACTCAGGACTTCACACTTGCAAAGCAGGCACTCTACTGCTTCAGTCACACTTCCGGTCCATTTTGCTCTGGTTATTTGGAGATGGTGTCTCAAGTACTATTTTCCCAGGCTGGCTTGAAACCATGATCTTCCTGTTCTCAGCCTCCCAAGTAGCTAGGATTACAGGTGTGAGCCACAAGTGCCTGGCTTAGTTCTTCAATGATTTATAGTTTCTGGTTGTATAGGTCTTTTATTTCATTCATTAAATTGATTCCTAGGTATTTTAATTTGTTTGAGTCTATAGTGATTGGGATTGCTTTCCCGATTTCTTTCTTGTTGGTTTGTTTATTGTTGGTGTGTAGAAACACTACTGATTTTTTGTGTTGATTTCATATTCTGCTCCTTTGCTGAAAATGTTTATGTGATCTAAAAGTTTTTTTGGATCTTTTAGGGATAGCATCATATCATCTACAAATAGGGATAATTTGAGTTCCTTCCCTGTTTGAATCTCTTTTGTTTCTTTCTCCTGTCTTATTGCTCTGGCTAGGAATTCACTCTTATTCTGAATAAGAGTGAAGTGAATGGACACTTTTGTGTTGTTCCTGATTTTAGAGGAAATGGTTTCAGTTTTTTCCATTTAGTATGATGTTGACAATAGATCAGTCACACATAGCCCCTATAATCTTGAGGTATGTTCCTTCTATTGTTAGTTTCTTCAGAGATTTTATCATGAAAAGATTTTGAATTTTGTGGAAGACTTTTCTTCTTTTGTTGAGAAGATGATGTAGTTGTTGTCCTTAATTTTATTTATGTGTATGTTTATTGATTTGCATATGTTGTACCTACTTGAAATGAAACCTACTTGATCATAGTGTATATATATTTTTAAATTTATTGTTGGATTCAATTTGTAAGTGTTTTATTA